GACCTTCCTCGAGCGAACGAGACCACCCGCAACACTGTGAGTGCCCGCGATGCGGAGAAAACTGGTAAAATATTGGGCTAGGCAAAGCCCCGGGGGCTGCTCGTTGCCTCTCCATTAAGCCCTTCTCTCATGGGCTAACTGCTTTTCCCACCTCGCGACTTTGGTTTCTAATATCTCAAAGTAGATGTTATGTAAAACTTAGCGTTTAACCAATTATTCTTTGCGGTTGTCAAAGGAGGAAATTTCTTACGCAGTAACTTTATGTCTCTTGCTTCGGGAGTTATTCAATATAAACGTGGGCAACCCTTACCCCAAAGAAAAGCAGATAAACGTTTGTCTGCCACGCTCAGAATAACCATATGCAGATAAAACCCTATGAAAACTTCATTTACAACTATGGTGTACTGATCTTTGCTTGGTTATTGGGGGTGGAGTTCGTAAGGATTGAAGAGTAACGAGTTCAGCTGCTGTTCCAAGACTGATTTATTCAAAGTATCTTTCATAACAGGAAACCTGTGGAGGTGCTTTCCAGAAGGCGACGCTGGCCGGGCGCGTACTCTGGTAGCGGAACATGATATCCTCAGAAAGCTTGTTTTTAAACGGACCTGTTTCTACTAGAGAGGGGGGGGGGCGACATGGTTCAACACCACCTGTTGCATTTTCAGCCGCATCTGGGTAACAGTCCAACAAAGAACACCCTGAGTAGTCGGCTACCCGTGCGCGCCGGCCACGCCAGAAAAAATCGGCACTACCTAAACACTGCACGCCGCATCGATTTAAGACTAAAGGTATATTGAAAGCATAGATGGATCCTAATATTGCCGTTGGCGCCGGTGTGCGCACAGGAACAAGCCTATCCTGGCCTCTAACTGGACGATGTAGTCCTTTTCGGTGTTAAGGAATATTCTGTACCGGGTGGGCCGGCGACTGTTAAAAAAAGTTGCTAGTTACTCTTAAAAGATGCTGTTAGTGGTTGGCCTTTAAACCCTTAAGACTTTTAGTCTTAAATCGATGCGGTGAGTGGTTTCTCTCTACTGACCATTTTCCAAAACTCTTCATTGCACAAGTCTGCCCCCTTAAACTTAAGGTCCCTAATAAACAAATATATCACCCAAAAGATGCATACACAAAGGCCACAAGGGGTCCCACTTAATTCTTCAAGAATTTTATCTAAGGCTCTCTTAGCATTGCCCCCCCCCGCTCAGCTTGGGAAGTTGATGCAGGATAATAGACTGGGGAACGCTTTAGGACAATGTTACGACATGTTAGAAATTGGATGAATTCAGATTAATCAAATAGAGGACTGTTGATTTTAAGGGCACAATTATTAATTAAACTTTCTTTATCTGAATTTATGTCGGGCCAATAAAAGTAAGCCGTTGCTAGTAACTTAGAAATGAGGTTGCCAGGATGACCCATATGTAGGATGGTGAGGGCTTGGCCTCTAAGACTAGGAGGGAGGATGGCTCTATTTCCTATCATAAGGCACCTCTGTTGGATGGTAATTTCATCACGCAGTTTGAAATAGGAAGTAAGCACAGCATGATCAGGGAAAGGATTGTGGCCAGGCCACCCATGATAGGTAACATCGAAGACCTTAGTGAAGGTTGAATCTTTTAATGAATGTTCTGAAATTTCATCTACTGTGATAGGAGGTTTGATGAGGGGAGAGATAAGTTTAAGATTGACTGGAGAAGGCAAGTGAGATAGAGCATAGGGAACTGACATTAAGGAAGCTTTACGATATTCAATATGATAATTAAACCCTTGGAGTATGGTTGCCCAATGCTGCAATCTATGATTTGCTCTTAATGATAAGCCTTTCTCTGGAGTCAACATTCTTTGAATTGCTGAGTAATCAGTAGCAATGACAAAAGTCCTACCCCACAAAGTGACTGTGAAAATAACTGCAAATGCCTCTCTATCAATTTGAGAATAATTCTGCTGATCAGAGGTTAAAGTAGCAAAAGCAAACAAAACTAGTCTTTCTATGGTTTCGCCATTAACATTCACAAGATGGGCCAAAACACAACCTACACTCACAGGGCTGGCATCTGTACACAAAACAATAGGTAATTGAGGATTAAAATGCATTAGTAAATCACTTGACTGCAGTAACTTATTAACAGAATTAAATGCTTGTTGACACTGATCAGACCAGACAAAAGGAGTCCTTACAGGTAAGTTCTCTCATTGGCTTATCTTCTGTTGAAAACATAGGTAGATACTCTGAATAGAAATTTACAAGGCATTAGAAGGAGCGCAATTGTTTGAAGTACTTTGGTGGTTCTGCTTTTTGGATATCATCGAACAAACTAGAGCTAGGAGTCCGGCCTAGAGCAGAAATTGTGAATCTTAAAAATTCAAGTTCTTGGACAAACCATATGCATTTATCTAAGCGTAATAGCGTAATCTTACATAGTGTTTTACGAGTCTAGCTAGAACTAAAAAAGTTTTAGTAATAATGTCACTGAGGTTTCCACATTTGACCAAAGTATTGTCTAGATAGCAAATAAATAACTACAGAAATGTCTTTTAAAATTTGGTCCATAGTGGAATGGAAAATAGCATCAGCAGAGTCTACCCCATATACATATTAACCTAGTTCATTTGTACAGACCTCTGTTTGTGAGATTACGTGTGGAGATTAAGCTGCGTCTGGTGATATTTGCCATTGGCGAAGTTAGAGACAAATCAAATCCGGCGTAGGTAGCGAATAGTGATCAATACGAAGTTGAGGATTCAATGTTCGCTTAAAGTCAGCGACACAGCGTATTTTACCATCCTTTTTTGGGTCGGCGAAGCCTGGGGAAGCCCATTCAGCCACTGTAAGTCGTACAGCTTTTCCTGAATCTACTAAGCTCTTTAAAACCTCATCAACTGGTTCATCCATACCGAATGGTAGGGGATATGCTTTTGCAAAAATGGTTTGGGCATTATCTTTAAGTACTAGCGTGGCAGTAAAGCCTTCAATAGCGGTATACACATTTAGAGCAAAATGTCTAGGGAACGTGGTCTGTAGTTCATCTACAAAAGGAACATTTACTAGAGTAGAAATGGAATTTAGGTTAGATGAAGTAAGGGAGTGACGCCAATTTGGCCACTAGAGATCTAACCAGTCCCTGCACAAAATAAGTTTAAATTCAGAAGGATGCTTGAAGGTTATTAGCAATAGATTATGAATTTGATCTTAGGATTTAGCTTTTACATGAATCTCTCCGGTATTTTCGACTATTCCGGACAAGGCAGAAGGTAAAACACTAGATTTGAGAAATTTAACATCAGGAAATATAGCATTAAAAGTGGAAGGAGCCATAACAGTAACTCCCGCCGCTGTATTTACTTCAAATGGAACTATTCTACAATTGACAATTAAGTTGATCAGCAGGGGGGGGGGGGAGAAGCCTTTACAGCACCAATAGCAATAATGTGAACGTTGAAACGTTGTTTTGTCCTGCAATTTGTTGGGTCTAAGAAAAGGCAAAATAAGCCAAAAATGATAAAAGAGCAAGGATCCATTGCTTTGATTAAATATATGTGCACATAAAAGAACAAATTAAAACAAGAATGACTAGAAGTTCATGGACTAGGAGGAGAACATACCCTGAAGTAGTGAATGAGACACCTGTTGTGGCTTTTCTGGTTCAGGTTTATCACCAGATGATGGGCTTGAACCACTGTTCAATTGTGTCTCTTGGGGATGTGGTTGACTCGTGCACGCTTCGTCTTGCACATGTTAGCAAGATGACCGACTAGTGTGCACTTCTTGCAAGTCAGCTTCTTGGCGAAACATGTCTGGGGGTCATGACTTCGACCACACCTGTAGCTGTAGCAACCTTTCTCTTGTTTCGTTGGATTGGAGACTGGAGATCTCGACCCAGACGGATTAGACTTTGGCTGAAGAACGGCTGCATGTTCCGTTTCGACTGCTTGGGTGTTTCAGCGGAGACTCTGTTCAATTATTTAGACAGCAGCTTGGCCTGTTCCTGGACGGCTTCTTCCTGTGATAATATTTCCAGGGTTTCAGCAATGGTGTGTGGCTGTTTATGTAAGCACTTGCTTCTTGCTGAATGCGAACGAGCGCCGCTGATCAGCCTATCGCGAATTGTTTCCTTTCAAAAGCCACCGAAGCTACAGTTCAGGGCGAGTGCTTGAAGAGCACAGTGGTAATCTTCAGCCTTTTCATTGCGGCGTTGGTCCCTCTTGCCGAAGTTAATTAACTTCGGCGTTTTAACCTAACCTAACCGTTTTAAAACGGTTAGTCTGGATGACACCAGGAGGTTGGAAGCGCTTTTCAAGCCGCTCGTACAGTTCCGGAATTGGGATGTCGTCGGGGGTCTTTGGCAAGCACGTGAATGACAGATACTCGTAAACACGGATGCTCAGATTGCTCAGAGCACGTCTCTTGTTCAGGTACACCCCCACCGAGGACGGCTCGTTCCCTAGGAATGTCGTTGACATAATAAGAGTGTTCAAGTAATTGAAACCAGGCCTTCAACGACATGTTTGTTGCGTCGTACGGCGTTAGGTGGTTGAAGGATGGTTGGACCACAATCACCTGTGGATCGGGACCGTCTCCAGCCATTGTTCCCCCACCACGTGGTTGAAATCACTTTGCTTTGCCAAGACTCCCTCTTCTCTTCTCCTTGAGCGATCGATGGATAATCGCCGACCCCCTCGTCGCCAATGTAGTGTACGGCTCTTCGCTTGGTTGATAGGGGTGGAGCTCGGAAGGATTGAAGAGTAACGAGTTCAGCTGCTGTTCCAAGACTGATTTACCTATTCAAGTATCTTTCATAACAGGAAACCTCTGGAGGTGCTTTCCAGAAGGCGACGCTGGCCGGGCACGCACTCTGGTGGCGGTACATGATAATAACTACTAACTAACCTGCTATGCTAAGTGCGTGCTCTTGCGCTTTTTTAAACGAAACCGTTTCTACCACACACACCGCGCGCGGGGGGCCAGAGCGTGATGTCGCCACGACCAACTGTTTGGAGTGCAATTCCACATTACCTCAGTACCCCCAACAATCGACACTGTGCTTGAGGCCCCGCGCGCCGCCCCTTTGTTGAGTGTATCCGAAACAGAGCGAAATGAAGTAAATTTCTAGAATGTTACAAGCTTTCTGGTGATCAACCAAACTTTCTGCGATGCACACATTAATGCTACCACACCGACAGCATAGTTTCAATCAAGGTACCAGGTGGTCAGTGCCTTGGTCAGAGCGAACCTCTATGTTTAGTTCAGTGTTGTGGGTCGGCATACCATTTCATGCTGCAGGGGCCATGACGCAATATGGGCAGACAATACGCTAACTTACAACACTGTTGATTCCCGTACAACTGAAAATGTTTACCTCTTTATTAACATTAGGACTTATAATTTAGTTTTCATCATCAAGTGTTCGTTTATCAGTTTAAACGAAGTGTTTACGTTTTTTGTTTTTTTTAGTATAAAGAACTCATAGTAACATCGCAGTTTCTATATCAGGGGTTCCCCATTGCAGAATGCGTTGACTCCTGTGCGTACGACAACATTTGCTTCCCAGAAGGCCAAACCTGGACAGATTCAAGTGCGCCGGGGTGCATACAGTTTCAATGTCTGCAAGTTGTAGACGACAGTAACAACAGCACGGCGTACATCATTGGATCTCTTGGGTACGTTGCCACTTACTTTTAAAACTTTTGGGCTCTATTCTTGTATACACTCAAAATGTCTAAGGATAATTTTTGTAACTGGCAGCAGACTGAGTTCAGATACAATATTGTAACTAGCCAGTTACTAAATGCGCTTGACTTGTCACAATATTGTAAAATATTGTATTTAAACTCTGGTATTTACAGGAGTCCAGTACCAGAAAAAAAAA